TTTCGGCTTGTCGCGCCCCTGGAGTCGCTAGGCGCCGGCCGGGCGGCGCGGGGAGGGCTCGGGACCCGGCCCTGACCCTCCGGGCGCGGAGTTAGGGGTTCGAGTCCCTGCCCTGCTCCTCCGTCTGCATCCTGCCCATCTCCTCATTTGAAGGGTAGGTGGGGAAACTGTGGCCAGAGAGTGGTACAGACTTGTCCAAGGCCACCTCCTCGTCCTCCTCGGGCCGCGTCACTTTGGGGTCCTCACCTGCAAGGTCGCCCCCACCCCCCACCCGGTCCTTGGAGGAGCCTGTTCCGGAGAAGCTGGTTCTGACCTGCTGCTAGCAGACTCTTCGGGTGCCCTGGGAGGCCTGTTGGACGGCAAGGGAGGGAGGACTTCCGGGTGCTGCGAGGGGTTCCCCTACGACCTCGGGTCGGGAGTCTGCTGGGCGGTCGCGGTGGGCTGTGTGCTCAGAGCACTGACTCTGTCCCTGGGTGCTGAAGCCTCCACTTTCAACCCATCCCTGCCTGCCTGGGGCCCCTCCTTTCATTCTGGAGAAGGGGAGTAGGGAGCAGGCCGAATCCCATTTCAAGACCTGGAGAAGCTGCGTTAGATTCCCCAGAGATTCCCCTCCCAGCGCCCCAGATTGTCAGTGGGAAGCCGCAGACAGCTGACCCTGTTGCCTTACCTGTGCTGGGGTGTGGCTTGTGAACCAAGGAGGGTACCCTAGTTGCAGAGAGGTAAGATTCTTTGATCAGGATGTGAAGACAGCATCAGCAAGAACTGTGGGTCACACTCTGAGATCGTGGGAGCTGTGTGGATGCCTTGGCTTCTAAGAGGACTGGTGGCCAGTCCCCCACAGTGTCCTGGGTGGGGTGAAAAAGAACCCCAGACCCGGGCTGCAGTCTCTCACAGGCTGGGAGGTGGAACACCTGGGCCCGGGTGACCCTGGGTGGTGGACTGGTCATGTTCCATCACAGAAGCAGTGAGTGGCCATACCTAGGTAGAGTGCATGTATACCACACCCTCCTTGCCGTCACAACAAAAGTAAGGATAGCTCATCGCTCCTGAGCTCTTATCACACCGAGCTAAGCACTTCATTCATGACAGCCCTTTGAGGTATTGTAATCTTGGACAAAGGCTGATGTTCAGAGAGGTTAAGCCACTTGCCTGAGCTCACACAACTCACAAGTGCTTTGTCAGGATTTGTGCCTAATGGATCTCTCCAGCTTCAGAGCCCAGGCTTGTAACTAATCACTGTGTGTCTCACTGAATGCCTGTGACCTGGTGGAATCCTGTCCCTTCTGGGCCTCAGTTTCCCAGTCTGTAACTCAAGGGGATAGGACTAACTTGAAAATCTGGGGTTTCACAGAATACTCCCAGCAGGTGGGGGTGGGGGGAGGGTGGGTGCCGATAAGTTGTAATTTCCCCAGAGACTGACAGGGCTGCTCCCTTCAGTGACCAGTGCCTCAGAAGCTGAGCACCGTCTGTTTGAGCGACTGTTTGAAGATTACAATGAGATCATCCGGCCCGTGGCCAACGTGTCGGACCCCGTCATCATCCAGTTTGAGGTGTCCATGTCTCAGCTGGTGAAGGTGGTGAGTGCTGGAGCCACAAGCTGTGGCCATGGGGCACGGGGGCTTCTGAAAGAGCCACTCCCAGAACAAGCCTTGTTTTTGCCATTGACCGGTCTGCTTGAATCTCTCGTTCTAGGATGAGGTAAACCAGATCATGGAGACCAACCTGTGGCTCAAGCAAGTAAGTGCCAAGCCCTAAGCGTTGCTGCCCCCTGGTGGTGACTGCTTTGTCTGCCTTCGGTGAATCGGAAGGGCCCACAGACCAGCCTTCACTTTGTGGATTCAGATTAGGGTCCACTGATGGCAGATCTGTCTCTTCTGGGGCTTGGGGGTCACATGTGCTGCCCAACAGTCCCCCTGGAAGGGCTGCAGGGCCTGGTCCCTTAAATCAGATGGACAGTCTGCAGCCTGGAGAGAGAGACAGTCTTTCCATTGTCATGTAAAAAAAATGGTACAGACCTGGGATTGGACCCTGCCCCCCTCCCCATGACCCTGGGGTGGTGCCTGAGACCACCTCCTTCCCTTACCTGTGCCAAACACTCATCCGTAAGTCAGAATCAGAGGCTGTTGTTGCTGTTGGTAGGGTGAATGTAGAACTCTGGATTTTCCTGCTCAGATCGAGGCCAGACAATTGCCTGCCACGTGGCCTCCCCAGGAAGGCTTTGTCCAGATCTGCTGAGAGACATAATGGCCCATTGACCTGATGGTGACCCCTCTGCATTCCCTGCCCGCTGAGTGCTCAGCTCACAGGAGGCTGGAATGCCAGATGGGCCCAGAGCCCCACCAAGCGCTCGTCACAATGCCCTCTGTGACCGCCGCCTCGCTGTTCTCTCCGTGGGCGCTCAGGACTCAGACCTCCCAGCCTCTGCACCCAGACTCTTCCCGGGCCCCGAAGGGATCGTGGCTTCTTTCCCCAGACCCTTTCGGAGGCTAGCCTTGCTGAACCTTGGATGGGAGGACCATTCTGTGTGTGATTGGGAGCACCCTTTTACTGGGGATTGGTGGGGGCCTTGTCTGAAAAAGCCATTCCATGGGATGTAAACAGCAGGCGCTTACAGCATGGACCTGGACCTGGAGCTAGAAGTCCAGGAGGCTGGACCTGGCACTTGTAGTGACCAGAGCAAGCACTCGTGGTCCCTATTTGATTGCTGAGGGGCTGGGCTTGTCCATAGTCCTGGAGGCAATGGCTGACCTCAAGCTAAGAGGTGCCCGCAGACTCAGTCCCATGCTCCCTCACCCACTGCACCCACATGAGACATTGGGCTATGGAGGCCACAGCATGGAGGTGGCTCAGTGACACGCAGCAGGGGTGGGAGTCATCAAGATGGGTGATGTCAAGAGAAGCAACGACAGGCTGGCCCTTTGCTGTCTCTTTCTCCCTCCCTGCCTTTCTCCCAGATCTGGAACGACTACAAGCTGAAGTGGAACCCCTCTGACTACGATGGAACAGAGTTCATGCGTGTCCCAGCTCAGAAGATCTGGAAGCCAGACATTATGCTGTATAACAAGTAAGGTGCCTGGTGGCCCATACCCTCCCAGGGCTGCCAGCCTGGCCTCTAGGTCCTGGGACCGCTGTGCTCACAGCCTGGCCTTCCTCAGGCCTTTTCCATGAGGACTTTCTTCATGCGTTTGTCCCATAGATACTTATTGAGCAACTACTGTATGTCAGGTACCAGAGATACCAGTGAGCACAGAAAGCAGCCGTGCTGAGTGTGGCTCAAGGAGAGGCATCAGGGAGGGTTTCAGGGAAGAAAAGACATTTGAAGTGGGTCTTGAAGGTTGCGTAGAATCTGAGGATGGAGGAGGTGCTGCAGTGGCAAGCCCAGGGATCTAGGAGAGTAGGTCACGGGCAGCCAAAGTGACCTTATAGGCTGGTCTGTGGGACGTGAGACTGAAAGGATCAGAGGACGGGTACTGGTGTGGGTGAGGGGAGCCTTACATGCCCAAGGGAGGCCTTGAATGTAGCACCGTTCCCAGCTCTGTACAAACAGACAGGAATGGGAGTAAACGGCTCCCTCCTCTCCCTCTTCTTTGGAAGAGAATGAGGGTGTTGGAGAAGGTCATAGCTGGGTAGGCCTGAGTCAAGTAATTTCGGGATTCCAGCCTGCTGACCTGCATAGTTACCAAGGAACTTGTAATTTATTTTTATTTTTTAGAGTCCAGGTCCCACTCTTTCACCCACGCTGGAGTGCAATGGAATGATCACGGCGCAGCCTTGACCTTCTGGGCTCCAGTGATCCTTCCAACTCAGCCTCTCAAGTAGCTGGGACTACAGGTGTGCACCACCATGCCTGGCTAATTTTTTTCAGAGACAAGATCTCACTATGTTGCCTATGCTGGCCTCAAACTCTTGGGTTCAAGCAATCCTCCCACCTCAGTCTTCCAAAGTATTGTGATTACAGGTGGAGCCACCATACCTAGCCCAAAGAGCTTTTTGTAATTTTGTAATTTTTAATTTTTAATTTTTTTTTGAGTTGGAGTCTCACTCTGTCACCCACACTGGAGTGCAGTGGCCACTCCTGGCCACCGCAGCCTCCACCTGCTGGGGTCTGGCAATCCTTCCGCCTCAGCCTTCCAAGTAGCCGGAATTACAGGCATGAGCTATCATGCCTAGCTGATTTTTTTTTAAATTTATTGTAGAGATGAGGTCTTGCTGCCCAGGCGGGTCTCAAACCCGTGGGCTCAGGCAATCCACTCACCTCAGCCTCCCAAAGGCGTGGGATTACAGGCTGAGCCACCGAGCCCAGCCCAAAGAGCTCTTTAAACATACAGATACCTGCATTTAAAATACTTTTTCCTTTGTTCCTCACTGTCTTTTCAAGTTAATATATATTACATTATCCAAAAAAAATCTCTACACCTGTCCCCAGGTCCTGCCCCATAGAAACATTGTGTCAGTGGCTATGGGGTGGGCTCAGGAACGGGTGTTTTCATGAAGCTGTCCTGGGGGCTGATGGCCAGCCTGCTTTGGGGATCACTGGTCTGGCCCCTACCTGACATTTCACAGATGAGGAATGAGACAGTGGGCATGTGGCAGAGCCAGGCCTAGGTGACCTTGGCAGCCCATGGTGACTCTGGGGCCTCTGTGAGCAGCAGACGCAGGAGGCTGATGCTGTGATCAGGAGCTCAGCTGGACATTCTCAGTTCGCCTCTGCCTTGAACCTCTTCTCTGCCCTCCTGATGGCAAACCTGCAAACCTGCCGTCAAGCAGTTACCCTACTGCATGCGTGAGCCCTCCAAGCCACCTGCCATAGGGAAAAGCTCTGAACCGGGAAAGGATTGATGTCCAGTAGGTGAAGCGGGGTTCCCATGTGCAGAGCAGGATGAATTCTCAGGGCCCGTGCTCCCAGCCCACCTGGGTGACTGCATCCCAGGTGTAGTTGAGACTGCAGTGGGCGGCAGGCCTGTTCCTCACAGTGGCCACCTCGAGTCTCCTCAGGACGCAGAACACGCATCTTCCCACCAGTTTCCCGAAGCTGTTTCCTCTTCTCTCTAGTAAAGGCTCTTCCTCTGCCAGTCTGATCCTGCCCTTCGTGGCACCCCCAAAGTCTGCCTCTTCCCAAAACCCACACAAAACTGACCTTCAGCATTTATGCTCTTTTATTGGGCTCACATAAATATTAACTGCTGTTTTACAGTATGCATGAGTTTGTTCTCCAGTGTTGAAAAATGTCATTTTTGTGACTGTGCTTTGTCTCTAAAGCGTGATTTCCCGTAGGGATGTGATCTTCATTTATTTTTTGGTAATTCTTTCAGACAACAAATGTTTACCATATATCCTTTATGTGGCTGAGAATCAAAATGTTTTGACCATTAAACATTTTTCAGCAAAACACTTCATATAGAATTAGTCTAATCTGATTTTAATAAATGAAAGCATTCTGTGTTTAGGTTTTTATGTTGTATTAGTACAAATGAATATGTTTTATTATGAGTATTAGTACTATTGGTTTTACTTTTTTTTTTTTTTGAGTTGGAGTCTCACCCTGTCACCCAGCCTGGAGTGCAGTGGCATGCTCACGGCCACCGCAGCTTTGATCTACTGGACTCAGGTGATCCTTCTGCCTCAACCTCTAAGTAGCTGGAACTACAGGCATGTGCCACCATGCCTGGCTAATATTTTTATTTATTTATTTATCGTAGAGATGAGGTCTCACCAAGTTGCCCAGGCTGGTTTCGAAACTGTGGGCTTAGGCAATTCTCTCACCTTAGCCTCCCAAAGTGCTGGGATTATAGGTATAAGCCACTGCGCCCGGCCTTTTTTTTTTTTTTAAAGTAGAGGTCTCACTCTGGTGCCCAGGTTAGAAGGCAGTGGCATGGTCACGGCTCACTGCAGCCTTAATCTCCTGGGCTCAAGCCCTCCTCCCGTCTCAGCTTCCCAAGTAGCTGGGACTACAGGTGTGTGCCACTACACCCAGCAAAGTTTTGTATTTATTTATTCTTTTTATAGAGACAAGACTTCGCAATGTTGCCCAGAATTGTCTTGAATCAGCACAGCCTCAATCTCCTGGGCTCATATAATTCTCCCACCTCAGCCTCTCAAAGTGTTGGGATTACAAGTATGAGCCACCATACCTGGCCTGCTTTTACAATTATTATCAGGATTGAAGAAGCTATGTTTGGCCAGGTACCTCTTTCTGTTTCCTGGCAAAAACAAAAGGGAGTATCTCTGCACTCCAAAGATAGGTGTTTTATTTACTGTTTTCCCAAGGAAACAAAGCATTTATTGACAGTATATTTATTGTACTTGTAAACTGGTCCTTGAGGAACTGGGACACAAGAGCAACTGAACTGGTTTGCAGAATTTTTTTCCTTTGCTGTGAGCTGTCACTGGAATCTCACATCTCAAACACTATTGGGGAACTGGCAGGGTTTGGAGGATTGTTGCTAAGCTAGAATTAAGAACATGAATGAAAACTCTAATCTGTTTTGGGTATTAGAGCTGGTTTCTTGCTGGCAATCTTGGGCGAACAGCTGGAGCACTTGAGGATGTATGATTGTAAAATGCCGAGAAACAGCAAAATGCTTCAAGTTGGTTGAGGAGAGGAGCAAATATCATAGGAATTTTCTTGGAATCTGTAGCAGAAAAGAACATTTAGAGAAGACCATCCAATTTATCTCTTTCCTGTGAAAACTTAAATTGTTCAGGACTGGCCCTCTGTGGAGGGTTCTCTTCATTTTTTTTTTTTGAGTTAGAATCTCACTCTGTTACTCAGGTTGGAGTGCAGTGGCATACTCGCGGCCACCACAGCCTTGACCTGCTGGGTTCAGGCGATCCTTCCACCTCAGCCTTCCAAGTAGCTGGAACTACAGGCACATGCTACGCGGCTAATTTTTTTATTTATTGTAGAGACGAGGTCTCACCAAGTTGCTCAAGCTGGTCTCAAACCTGTGGGCTCAGGCAATCCTCTCGCCTCAACCTCCCAAAGTGCTGGGATTATAGGTGTGAGCCTCCACACCAGGCCCTTTCTTCATTTTTTTTAACGCACTAGAAACATCTTTTTTCTTATACCAAAATTTCTCTTACGACATTTTGTTTTCTGAAGTTCATTCTCTACTAGAATCCTCAAAGTGTTCATGGATACAATATATCTTAAGTTATTGCAAGTTTATAATTAACTCATTGTAATCTTTTTAGGTTGCTGGGCTGATTATAAAATTCTTGGTTTTTATTTCGTTCCTTCTTTCCTTTCTTTAAGAGGCAGGATCTCACTCTGCTACCCAGGCTGGAGTGCAGTAGTATGATCATAACTCACTGCAGCCTCAAGCTCTTGGGCTCAAGCGATCCTCCCACCTCAGCCTCCCAAGTAGATAGGACTATGCCACCATTCCTGGCTCTGTTTTTCTTTCTTGAAAATGTTTAAAATACGGCCTCACTGTTTTCTGGTATGCAGTGTTGCTGTCAAAAATCTGATGCCACTCTCATTTTCTCTTTCTTGAAAAATTGGGTAACTTTTGAGAGAGAAAGAAGATACTATTAGTAAGTACTCCAGGACCACAGATATAAACCAGGACACTTCTGGAAAATTGGGAAGCATAATCATTTCCTTTATAAGTGGATTGTTCTTTTTGCTTGGTTCCCCAAAAGATTTTTCCTTAGTTTTTAAGGTCTAGTTGTTTTGCTATGTACCATGTACATAATAAGCTTTTTTTATTCCAGGAAAGTTTTGTTTTGTTTTGAGTCAGAGTCTCACTTTGTTGCCCAGCTGGAGTGCAGTGGCATGTTCACAGCCACCACAGTTTCGACCTGCTGGGCTCAGGAGATCCTTCTGTCTCAGTCTTCTAAGTAGCTGGAACCACAAGCGCGTTCCACCACTTCCTGCTAATTTTTAAATTTATTATAGAGACAAGGTCTCACCAAGTTACCCAGGTCTCGAACCCCTGGGCTCAGGTAATTCTCTCATCTCAGCCTCCGTAAGTGATGGAATTACAGGCGTGAGCCATGACACCTGGCTTCCAGAAAAGTTTTTTAAAAAATTGCCAGGTTTGGTGGCTCAGTTTGTAATCC